ACTGTTTGATATTGATTAAAGAGAAACAATGTGTGATGTAAGCCTGGTCTAATAATGTCTGAATCCGTGAGAATCAGCAAGGCTCCTTTCCACCCTCAAATTCCTTCTGCACTGGCTCCAGGAGCCTCAGATCCCACCCTCAAAGTTCCCTCCTTTTGCTTAGAGCTTATGCCCTAAGGAGTTTATTAAATTTTTCCCTGAGCTCAGGAAAGGAAGGAAAGGCAGGGAATGGACACAGGTGTGGTGGAGAAGGGGCAACGGGAGGAAAAGAGGGCCGAGAAGGCTCTGAGGAGAAAGCCTGCCTACTTAGTTTTCTCAGGGCGGACGAGGTCTTCTGGAGTTCGAGACATTGATTTTAAAAGCCACCCGCTTGACCCTCTCAAGTTGCTTAGGATGAGAACTGATGGCGTCGTAGGACAGAGAGATCACCCTGACAGTTCATGCAGAGTTCTTCCTGCTCCAGGAAAGGGCAGTGAGGTTCAGGCGCCTGATCTGAGATGGTTGGAAATATCTGGTTCCAGGGAAGAAGACGAGCGACTGGGCGGGCGGGTGGGGGTTTGGGGTGGGGAGTGGTGCTCAACCTGGGGGCTGTGAATAGAGCTGGCTCAGGGCGCCAGCTGGGGTGGAAGCGCCGGCAGTGCCGGCGTCTGCAGCGCGAGAAATGATGAGCCTGGGTGGGAGGGCAAGGCCGGAGCTTGGCTTTTCGCCAGGCCAAGGGCTGGCGAATCGCGGGATGGGGCTTGCTTCGCCTGTGCCCGCCGCTGCGGAGACCCCGCAGCCTGCTTCTCACTGGGACCTGGGACCTGGGGAAAACTTTTTCAGACTTGCTTTGTGCTGGGACCGAATACTTCGGGAGCACAAGACAGGCTCCGCAGAGGTTCACGCCGGCCGAGGGGGCAGAGCCGGAGTACGGGCGTGTGGGTGTGTGCATGAGCGTGGACCCGGAGCGACACACACTCACACACACACACTCACACGCCCGCACCCACGCGGGGCCCTCGGCCGCGCCGCCCGCGCCTCCCCGGACCTTCACCCCCGGCGCCGTTCCCTCCGATCCTGCGCCCGGTGCCCAGCCCCTGCCGACTCTGGGAACGAACAGAACGGGATCAACAGAGACGGCAGGGAATCCCCATCACCCCGCGGCGGCTGTCCCCGCATCCCCCCGCCCGCCNAGTACACCCCTCCAACCACATACACAGATGCTGAAGGGAGAGACTGATACGGGCAGTGCTCTGTGAGTACTGATCTTCCCTGGTGTGTGCGTTCAGTCCCTCAGTCATGTCCGACTCATTGTGACCCCATGGACTGTAGCCCGCCAGGCTCCTCTGTCCATGGGATTCTCCAGGTAGGAATATTGGTGCCATTGCCTCCTCCAGGACATAATCTCACGCAAGCCTGAAAGTGTAGTTGCTCAGTTGTGTCTGATTCTTTGTGACCTCATGGACTGCAGCCCACCAGGCTCCTCGGTCCATGGGATTCTCCAGGGAAGAGAAAACAACCCGGAAATAAACTGTCCTCCCAACAAAAGATTGGTGAAGTAGTTTTTAGTAACTTCAAACGAAGAGGTGTGCTGGGAGTGAAGTCGCTCAGTCGTGTCCGACTCTTTGCGACCCCGTGGACGGTAGCCCACCAGGCTCCTCGGTCCATGGGATTCTCCAGGGAAGAGAACTGGAGTGGGTTACCATTTCCTTCTCCAAGGTATGCTGCAGTCGTTAGAAATTGTAACCCTATGTCCAGTTTGTTGATATGGAAGGAAGGTGGGCCAAAGTCGAATATTAAGTGAGGGCAGGGGAAACTTAGCAGAGTGCATGTGCGGTATAAACCTGTTCTTGTGAATGTAAGGTAGGGTAGTTAGAGAAGGCGAGGTTCAGAAGGAGACCTGCGCTTTTCAGGAACAGCTGGCCTTTAATGAGACCAGAAGGGGCAGCAGTCAGATTAGCGAGCTGCTGCACTTGGCCAAGGAAAGAGTAAGTATACGTAGGCATGTATGTGGAAAGTTACTGTCTTAAGGGGGCCTGTTCTTCTCCAAGGTTGTTCGGAGTAGTTATCTCTTAAACGGCTGGGGCAAGGAATTTTGGAGATCGACCAGAGGCTGGACCGGCTGGGAGCTGGGTGTAATCAGCCTTAATGTCCATTTTTTTCTCTGGGTGAGAGAGTTCTTTGTTTTGCATAGAATGGTGGGGAGGTCCTTGAGGGGAGTTTTAACTCCAGGCTATTTTGAGCCATGTAACTTTCCTTCAGTGACTATGTAGTATATGCATTTTTATGTAAAAAGGAGGTTTTAATTTTGAAAGCAGTTTATTTTTTTCTCAGTTCTTCAGTGGTGTTAGCAAACTATTCCAGGTGTGTTTTGGTGTACCACAGACGGCGTGCCTGTGCCTTGGGTTAAACAACCCACCTGCCAATGCAGGAGACATTAGAGATACCGGTTGGATCCTTGGGTCCAGAAGATGCCCTGGAGGATGGCATGGCAACCGGACCCACTCCAGTATTCTTGGAAAGTTCCATGGACAGAGGAGCCTGGCAGGCCATAGTCCACAGGGTCTCAAAGAGTCGGACACGACTGAAGCGACTTAGCCCAGGGCACGGCAAATTCCTCTGCCAAACCTGCCCCTCTCTACCCTGCGGAAAGGCGAACAGCCCAATCAGGCATTCCACCCCGCACCCGTTTCTTCAATTGCAATTTTTATTTTTATTTTATATTGGAGTATAGTCAGTTAACAATGTCGTGTTAGTTTCAGGTGTATAGCAAAGTGATTCAGTTAGACACATTCATGTATCTATTCTTTTTCAAATTCTTTCCCATTCAGGTTATTACAGAATATTGAGCACAATTCCCTGTGTAGTAGTAGTGTTGGTGATCTATTTTATTTTATTTTTTCACTTATTTTTATTAATTGGAGGCTAATTACTTTACAATATTGTAGTGGTTTTTGCCATACACTGACATGAATCAGCCATGGATTTACACATGTTCCCCATCCCGATCCCCCCTCCCGCCTCCCTCTCCATCCCNTGCACACACGTATAGGAACACGTTTTAAAATATTTGTTATTATCTTATAAAAGCAAGCATTTGATAAAACTAAAATGTTCATTGTTATAGACATTCAATATCCCAAAAAATTATTGGAGTATCACCACCACACAAGTCTGAATGAACCAGCTTTTCCTTGCATAAAATATATATTTTTGGCTTTACCAGAGCAGTTGTCTCTAGTACCATAAAGAGTGTTAGTCCCAACCTAATATGGATAGAGAACTACACTTTACAATATTGTATAATCCTCTGATAATATACAGTTTCATACTAAAAGAATAGTAGGATTTTGCCAATATGGTCCAGAGTGTGGAGAACACGTATGTGAGAGCATTTTAAAATTATTATGCCAAAAAAGACAAAGTATGAAACTAAAGTAGAATTTATTAACATATAAGTACTGACCTGAGATTTAGATAGTAATGTATTAACATGAATAAGTGCAGTGGTGTTAACAGCCTACTAGATTGGTTAGTTAAATCTTGTACTCAATGAAGATATTTCATGAAAATGTCCACCAAGGGGCATTAAAAAGAGTCTTAATAATCAGATGGACTAAATAACCATCCAGTGAATTTCAGTTAGCTCCCTAACCACTCCAGGATTTGAATAATGGGCACATGTGCAAAGCGGCCATGGTAACAGGAATGGAAGCTATACATGGGCTCAATACTTTCCTTCAACAGACTTCCCCTCAACAAAGCTGATCTGTGTACCTCCATCACAGAGTTCCAACCTGCCAGGAGAGGAAACCAATCAGCATCATTTCTGGGGGAAAATAGCTAGCTACCTGGCAACATATGGATTACATTGGGCCTCTTTTTTCATGGAAGAGGCAGTGATTTACCCTAGCAAGAATAGATACATATTTCACAGTGAATTTGAACTACTAGTCTGCTGTCATGGCTTCATATTGTGGCAACTCAGTTAAACCAGACCTGTTCCCAGGATTTCCTTCCATGTATTTTTCACATTAGGATTCACCACAAGAAAAGTTTGAGATTTGGAGGAAGGAAGTGAAGCAGTACCATTTTTGTTCTGAAGGCCAAGACAGAGAAAGTACCGTTATAACTCATGCATGCAGCTGGTTCACCTTGCTGATGTGGGGCAACTTGGGCCTTCAGCTCCTTTCACTTCTGCTGGATTTCCACCTCAGTTTCCTGAAGTCGTGGGCCAGATGCAAGTGCATGTTTATGATGAAGAGCATCAGCTTACTCCGCAGGTCACCTGCATCATCAAAATTGGAAACAAAGAGAGACAGACACAGTTCTAGTTTATCCTTGGTCCCCTTCACTGCATTGGAGAAGGAAATGGCAACCCACTCCAGTGTTCTTGCTTGGAGAATCCCAGGGACGGAGGAGCCTGGTGGGCTACCGTCTATGAGGTCTCACAGAGTCGGACACGACTGAAGCGACTTAGCAGCAGCAGCAGAATTAAAAATGAAAACATCTAGCCATACCAAATGTTGGTCAGAACATGGAGAAACAATGCAGTTTCCCTCAGGTGTGCTAACTATTAAACTTCCTTGAAAGCTGATTTTTTAAAAACCGGTTCTGGAACCTAAGCTTATTTTATCTTAGTCTCCCATGTCTCTAAAGTAATGCTCCAAAATTGCTTGATCATGGTAGTTGCAATTATTTTGGAAATATTAAATATGGCAATAAAACAGGCTATGTTGAATAACTTTCCACTGTGGTGACAATTTAACACTCAGGTTGCAAACTCTTACAGATAAATATTCTCTTAGAAAAACATTTTTCTTCACATTGACATTGTCATAAGTTGGGTGATCATATGAATTTAAAATTTTGATCACTGTTTTAGGCTGTAGCTTGAAAAAACCTACTGATCATGTGCTTTGCTCAGGCCCTTAGAAGGGAAATTGGTGGGCAGGAGTAATTACAGTGAAGTCCGACAGGTGGCGCAAAACCGTTGCTACGGTACTGCTTTGCTTAGACTAAGGACTTGCATTTTGTCAAGGTCTTCTTTTTCCGTACCTTTAGAAGTTATTTTCTCTTGTTCTGAGAAAGAAATCTTGGTAAGTAAGAAGGCTTTTGTGGCTTTTTCAAATTATGGAATAATTACCTCAAATAAGCAAGAAAATGCTAACGGTTGTATAGGAAATAGGTAAAGTTTTTGCAAAATGATTTTAAGGTGATTTTTTTTAATGTTGCAAACGTTCTCTCTGTAATACAAGAAAGAGGAAGATATGGCTATCTTGAAAGATACATAAATGTCTAGCCCTTGTCATATTCAAGAGGAAAAAAGCTAACTGATGTTATTGCTTTCTTCTGTTTTTGTCTACTACATTCTGCCTTTTTGCTTTTTCCCGGTTTCATGACACCTATCCTATCGCATGTTATATATTTTTATGGTAGATGTGAGTGCTTGATTCTCGCTGTAACACCGTTCTGGAATTGTTTATTTGTGTCTGTCACTTATTTATAAGCATTTGAAAGCAGGGATTAAGCTTGTGCTATTCGTATTTATACGCCCCAGCATTGAAGGTCTGGGGCAGGGCTGGCACGTACTACGCTCAGAATAAACAGTTACTAAATGAAGGAAGTGGCAGGGACTGGCCCAGAACTTGCCTTATTCAACTTTCTCACCCAGACTTTGACAAATAAAACAATATTTCTCTTGCATATTTGTTGATTTGATTATGGAATCTCACGTTTTTCTGGTCTTTCACTTATCATAGTTTTGATTTTCATAGATCTTATCCACTATTTTTTTTCTTAATACAGAGCCTCTTACCTCTGTCTCTCCCCATCTTTCATTTGATGCATTAAAGAAAAAAAAAATTTTTTTTTACCTTTTGTCTCTTTCACTTCCTTAAGAAAAAAAAAAAAGCTGTGAGCTCTCTAATCTTCCGTTCTTTCATCTCTTACTTTTTTTCCCTAAACTAGAGAAACTCTTGGCTTAAATGTAAACACTAGGAACCAACTAGGGTATAAATGATCCGGGAGGAATCTTTGTGTTTTGGAGGCAGGGTAATATAAGGGAAGCTGATGAACTTTCCCACATAGTGGCTGAGTTTCAGTCCCCTGAACACAGACACCATCCAGAGACCTCTGAGTCTCCTCCGGAATGTCAATTATCTATCCTGAGGAAGAAGTTTTCTCTCCTTCCCTTTCTCTCTCTTCCCACACAAAAAGTACAGGTGTGTTTCTTTAATATTAGCTGTATTTTCAGACAAGTCTTTCAACTTATAAAAGATGTTCAAAATTAGAAATTTTGGAAATATACAAAAGTTATGAGAAAAATTAAAATCATCTATGATTTAGAGATCTAGAGATAATCACTATTAGCGTTTTGTTTCTTTCCATTCTTTTTTCCCCCTAGGTGTTGTGTATATGTTCGATTTTAATTATATTTAATAAAACTAGAGTCCTACTATGCACACAATTTTGTATTCTTTTATTCATTTAACATTATTTTGTAGACTTTCCCCCTGAAAGTGCAGCATTTATGGCTGCATATACTGTTCCATAGTATGGGTGTACCATAACTGATTAAACAATTTTCTATACGTAGTCATTATGATTTTTTTTTCAGTTATTCATCCTGATGAGCATCCTCATACTAATATTTTTATGTGTATTTCTTTAGAAGAAATTTTGAGAAGTAGAATTGCTAAAATAAAGGTAAGCATATTTTTAAGGAATTTATCTATGTGACCCAGTTGCTTTTCAGAAAAGTTGTACTAATTTTTCATTCCTGCCAGCATTAAATGAGAGTTCCCATTTTAGTCCCACCTGCCAACACTGGGTATTATATTTTTGAATTTTACCAATTTGGTAGGTGAAAATAATCATACCTTTTAAAAAATATTTAAGAAAAAAAATCCCATTTGAATCACTTTATCTTTTTATACTTAAATATCATAAATTATAGGCATGCTAATGTTTCATCTTTAAATGCTTCATTCTGTATCTCTAAAAGAAGTACATTTTCCTAATGCATTCATATAACATTATAAAAGTTAAGATTTATGTCTTAACAGACTGTAATGCCTGGACCCTCTTAAAATCCTCTCTCCACTTGTTATTCAGGTAACTTTTACAGCAGGTCTGTCTAAAATAAGATTCAGTCTAATATCACAAGTTTCATTTAGATATTATATATTTTTTTCTTTAATATGATTTTTAATTTTTGTGAAATTGGACATTAGTCATATTATTCACTGCTGATTTTGAAGGGGTAAATTTTCTGAGCAAATAATGTGCTCTGCTTAATTTTAAATGTCCAAAATTTGAAAGATACAGGGAACAACTAAAAGGAAATTAAACCCCTCTTAAAATTTTACCATGCAGAAATAACTACTGTTAATATCTTGATATATATCTTATATTTTTCCATATGTATGTGGACATATTAACTGGTGTACATATTAACTGGTGTACATTTTATAAGTAAACTACTTTTGTCACATATATATAGTGAGCAGTTTTCCATGGAGTTAGATCGTCATTATTTTTAAAGGCCACACAGTAGTATTTAATTGTATGGAGATTCCATAATTTATTTGACAATCTGCTACTTTTGGACAGATTTTTAAAAATTATTTTGTATTGACCCCTGTATTGTACTGTTTTACTGGTTCTAACAGGTTTTCAACTACTTGTCCTGGATTTTCCACAGTGACAATCATATAATTAAAAATAACGATAGTTTTATTTCCTCCATTCCAATATTCCTGTCTCTTATCCCCCACCCCCTTCATTACAATGGCTAGAACTTCTGGAACAGTGTTAGATGACAGCGGGGATCCTTGAGGGAGTTCCCTGGTGGTCCAGGGACTGAGACTTCAGCCTCTTCATAGGGCAGCTGAAGAGTTCACCTACCACAACTAAAGATGCTGCGTGGAGCGGCTAAGACCCGCTGCAGACAGATCAGTAAACAAACGTTTTAAAAGTAGTGGGCATCCTTGATGTTGACCTTCATGGAAATGCTTTGGGAGTAGGATGTTGGTTTAAGTCAGATATTTGATATATTCTTTATCAATTTTTAGAAGTATCTTTTGCTTGTATACTTTAATTAACATGTTTTTAGTCAAAGAATGAAATTTATAAGTGAATTTTTAACCTCTGTGGAGATGCTCATCTGTTTTTTTCCTTTAATCCATTGCTGTGTTACTGTCATGGATTTGCCAATAATAAGTTATGGTTACAATCCCAAAACATCTGAATTAATCATCGTGTGTTATTTCTTCAGCACAGAGTGTGATTGAATAGGGTTTCTCATATCTGATCTTTTCCCTGCTACCAAATAGTTGGAGTGTATCTCTTTTGTTTGTATTTTATAATAATTACTCTTAATTTTATAATATACATACTTAAACTTATATATTTTTCCAACAGAATATTGAGTTACATGGTATATATAGCTTCTTCTCAATCAGGAAAGGGTTGTAACATGCTTTTGGTCCACTCTCTCCCTCTCCCTCTGCTATCTACTAAACCCCTTGTTAACACTGGCAATTTAAATTTCAGATTCTTAGTGAAATTTCCATCAATCCGTATTAGGACTTAGCAATACACTTTGTACTTTCTTTTCAAAGTACTCCTTTTTGATTCCCAATTTTTTTGAGTCAGTTTCTTTTTCAGAGCATAGAATCTATCCTTTAGTGATATAGTGGGTCTGTCTTCCACATCTTCTAGCATTTCTTTGGTATATTTAATCTCTTTGGCTTCTTGGACTCTATTTTGGGAAAATGCCTCTCCTTGGTCTTCTGTCTCACTCATTCTTACATTAGCAGTGCCACTCTGCAGTTCAACTCATCCGGTACGTCTTCCATTTTAGTTATTAAGTTTTTAATGTTCACGATTCCTACTCCATTCTTCTTTAGAGTTTTCTCTATCTGAGGGTATCTGTCTATGATAAAGGCCTGTTTTTCTCTTTTATCTCTGTCTCCCTGGGTGTTAATGTCCCTCATATTTTGTGTTTGCTTCCTTTCTGTCACAGTGGTTAATTTGTAAGACTGTCATGCTTCTGGTTTGTGCAACCCAAATTGTGATTGATAGGTAATAATCCCTCAGTCCGACTCTGTGACCCCATGGGCTGTAGCCTTCCAGGCTCCTCTGTCCACGGGATTCTCCCGGCAAGGAAAGGTAGCCATTCCTTTCTCCAAGGGATCTTCCTGACCCAGGGGTTGAACCTGGGTCTCCTGCATCGCAGGCGGATTCTTTACCATCTGAGCACCAGGGACGCTTATGTATAACTGCTTGTTGATCTGTTTTCACAGCCTGCTTGTTGGAAGGGTGGACCAAACTAGTCTGTATTAATTTTATTTTGCTGCTGTAACAAATTACCACAAACTTAGCAGCTTAAAAAGCACACTTTATCATTTTACAGTGCTGTAGGCTGGCAGTCCAACGTTGGTCTTGTTGGGTTTGAGTTAAGGTGCTGGCAAGTCCGCATTGCTTTTGGAGGCTCTGGGGGAGAATCCACTTACTTACCTTTTTGAGCTTCTAGAGGCTGGCTGCATACTTTGGCTCATGGCCCCCTTCCCCAAGGAAGGTCATGTCTTTCTCATATCACATCACTCTGAGCTCTTCTTCCTTTGTCCTCCACTTCTTAAGGTACTTGTGATTGCCTTGGGCCCACTCGTGTAAATTTTAAGATCTGCTGATTAGCAACCTTAATGCTACCTGCAGCTTTAAATCCCCCTTTCTATGTAACAGCATATTTACAAATCCTGGGATTAGGAAGTAGACATCTCTGGAAGGCTAGTTTTGTCTGTCATAGTTCGATCTGCTTGTGGATTTCAGAGACTTCTCTTGGTTTCAGTTCCCCTAAACACTTCCCTTTCTGATTTTATGTGTGTGTGTATTTCATTGTTTGGGGGATTTAGGGCAAGAGATGGTGGCTAGAGCAAGTGCCCATCACCCTGCTGACTCTCACCATTTTTAATGTTTATAATTGAAAATGTGGTTTTCTTGATCCAGAGAATATTTAGAACATTCTAAAAAGTGATTTTAGAAGTTTATTTTGTAGACAGAAATATGGTTGTACTGATGGACAGTTGGGAAATGC